AGCCTGTACTTTGTTACTTTTACTTGAGTAAAGAAGTTTAATCAGTACTTCCACTTTTACCAGAGTATTTTTTAACACATGTACCTGTACTTTTACTCAAGTACGGAAAGTGAGTACTTTTGCCATCTCTGATGTTCAATAATATGCAAAAAAAAAAAACATGAGTTAGTTAAATATTTTGTTCAAATTAAATCTTTAACTTGCTAATTTCATGTTTAGTTTGGAAATGTGTTTATAAATTATATATCATATAATGAAAATATGACTTTAAATTGTATCCCCAATTTGTTAGTCTTATTACAGGCTTAAAAAAAAGGAAAGTAACTTTACAAAAAAATGTATGTAAATAATTATCAATATTTCAAAAAAGATTAGGAAACATCTAAATTTAATAAGCTGATGTGAACATTTTCTGATCATGTTAGACTTACAAACACCACTGAGTGCTTGTTATAGTGTTTGTTGTTTTCTCACATCTACAGTTGTAAACAGCTCCTGAGTTTATGGATGGAAAAACGCTCGTTTGCACACAGATGTGAAGCATGATCAACAGTAGTTAACGGCCTTTTAGAAACAAAGTACATCTATGAAAGTATCCACAGTGTCCCTTACCTCAGAGGTGCAGCGATGGCATTATGGTGAGCATGCAGATGGCTATATAAATCAAGATGTTTATTTTTTTTTCAACATATGTACACTTTTAATATGGATCCTACTTAATGTTTTATAAAAATAACCAGACATCTTCTACAGCTTCAGGGTTTTTGATGTCTCATATGTTTAGAGATGTCTCTCCACAGACATATTGTTGACTTTTATACAGGCTTGGGTATCTGAAACCACAGATCCTGTGTTATAGAAACATCAGACGGTACCAGTAAAGAAAAGTTTTATTAAAGAATACATTTCCAACACTCGTCTTTATTTTTCAGTTCGGGTTTGATCAGAAACTCAGCATATCTTTAAGGTCACAGTAAGGTCAGGTTGTCCATGCAGCAGCTGGAGATCACAGCTCAGTGGTAGAGCTCATGCTGGTGAGCTGTGATTGGCCCGTCTAGGGAAGAAGGCGGAGCTCAGTAACAGGCGCCTCACACTCAAGATGATTGTAGCTGTTGTTTTGGAAACAGCATGAGGTTACTTCATGGGAGAGAAAGAGCATGGAAACATGAGCTGGTTTCTCTGAGAATCCAGATGGACGACGCTGTTCCTGACTGGGAGACACAACGGGAATCGGACAATGGATTAGCTCTGACCAACCACTGAACACGCCCAAAAACGGGTGATGTCACAGAGTGGGCGAGGATTCCTACCTGCTGCAACCACCCTGGCATCAGTGTGAGCTTTGTGACGAATTTCAGCTCGATGATCAGCACTCTCAAACCACCAGAGGGCGTGCACTGAGAAATAAGAACTGGTTAGACACACAGCAGCATTCTGACATTCACAGCTCTACATCCTTACATCTACTTAATCCAGTTTTAGCCCAGTTCAGCCCAGCTGTCCTGAATTCATTAATCTATAGCGCCATCTACAGGACGCTGTA